GGGGCACGGCGGCACCACGCGGGGCTCAGACCGTGCAAACTCGTGTCACTGCTGGGTGCTGGGATGGGGGGGGGGGGGTAAAAACCCACAACCTGAGCCATCCGCTCCCTGCTCTGCGCACCACTTTTGAAGGAACTAGGTGGCTGGGGAGGATCAGGGTGCTGCGGCTCTTCTTTGACCCCCCGATGGCTCATCCCAGAGTGGGAAGGAGAGGACCTGGAGGATGGCTGATTCCCTGCGGAGCGAGAAACACAACGGGAGCAATCCGCTCGCTCTGCCCAAGGTGATGCTGGCGAGCACAGCGTGGGGCCCCTCGCAGCCGGTACAGGGTCGGCACAAACCTCTGGAGGGCCAGGGACACGGGAGGCGCTTGACCAAGGTTAACTCTCGGTGGCCACGGTGAAGGCGTCGGCAGTGTTTCCCACCCAGGCCACGGTAGCCCCAGGACGGGCAGCCATCCTGGAAGCGGCCTCGCTCCCTGCAGGAGCAAAGGCAGCCCCAGGGAGGGGGATTTAGGCTGGATCCGGCCCCCCCCCCCCCCCCCACCACCCTGAGTCGGGCCAGCTTCAACGCTGCATCACCCCTTGGCTGTGCACCGGAGCAGAGCCCGGCCCCCGTGCCCCTGCTCGCCACCCCACAGCTGCGCGGTCCCCCCACGCCCCTCACCCTCGGCACAGGCACCCACCCTCTGGCGGGCGGGCGGGGGGGCTGGGGGGTTGCTGCTCCTCACCGGGGAATTCAGGCCAGGCAAAGCAGCCGGGGCCGGACGGCGGCAGCTCCTGCGGGGAAGGGGGTGGGTTTAGACACGGAGCAGGACAGGGGATGCTGTGACTGCAGAGCGGAGAAGCTGGGCTGCTGCTGCTCCCAGCGCCGTGCAGGGAAACCTGTCCCGTGCGCTGTCCTTGTCACCAGGGCAGTGAATGGCCCCTGCCCCAGGACAGGGGATGCTGTGACTGCAGAGCGGAGAAGCTGGGCTGCTGCTGCTCCCAGCGCCGTGCAGGGAAACCTGTCCCGTGCGCTGTCCTTGTCACCAGGGCAGTGAATGGCCCCTGCCCCATTTCACCTGCACCCTGCCCTCGGTCCTGCGGCCGCTGCCACCCCCCCAGCCCACCCTCCCCTCACCGGGTGCCAGCCCTCTCTGAAGCAGTCCTCAGGTCCTCGGTTGTCTTCTCTGTCATCCCAAGGGGGCAGCGGGGGACAGTCGCGGGGTGCCCATCTCCTGTCCTCATTCCCACGGAAGTCGGCAGGGCCAGGGAAGGGTCTGGGGTCCCAGAGACCAGGCTGCAA